CAGCAGGATCCACTCAGACCCCGGAGAAAGGGCAGAAACAATAAATAAAATCACTGAGAGAGAGAGAGAGAGGAATGAACTCCAGGAGACTGCAGGGCCAGCCCAGCCTGCACAAGGAGTAAGAAATAAAACCTGGCTGCAGCCCAGGGAGGCCGGGGGAAGAGGCTGTGGGGGCACAGAAGGGCGATCTCACACTTCATCATGCATCCATCACCATCGCCAGCACATCAGAGCTGCACCAAGATCTGAACTGCAATTAACCCAAGCGTACCTGGCCCAGCCACTCCTGGAGCCCCCCACTCGCTACCACCACCTCCTCTGCAGGTCTCAGCCCTGCTCCAAACGGCAGCAATGCCTCTGCCACCTGGTCCGAGCCCTCGGCGCCGGGCAGGCAGACATGGAGCAGGGACCTGCCGAAGCAGCACCCGTACATAGCCAGAGGCACGACAGGACCTCTCTGCACACCACAGGGACAGGGACTGCTGCCACAGCAAGTAACTGAGCAGCAAACTAGGTGCAACGCTGGGAAGCCACACACACAGAGATCCTGGGGTCAAACACTTTCCCCTTTGCTGGAGGCACTTTGCTGGTGCTTCCAAGAAGAGAGCTGGGGTGGAGATGAGAGGCAGCTCCTGGAGGCTGCCGAATTACAGAACAAAAAAGCTAATTTCCAAGCACTTCCAGCAGTGCAGAGCCAGTGGTTCCACCTACGGGCAGGACAACCACAGCACCAGGCAGAGACGGAGCTGAACGCTTTGCCCAGGTACAGGAGTGCCCACGCCATTCCTGCGGTGCAGCAATCTTGTGGCAAGCCCCAGCCAGGGCCACGTGGACACCTCAAGAAACGCTGTTGCTCCAGAGCCATTCTGCTCAACCTCTGGATCGCCACAGCAGTGATATTACTCCTGAGCTGGCGCCACGAAGATTTCCCTGATCTGTTGTGACCAGCCCCATGATGAGCTTCGCATGCTCAGAGGATGCTCAGCTGGGAGGAGGCAGGTACCGCAGGCTCCACCTTGCAGAGCCTCCAGCCAGCGCTCTGCCCCTCCCCATAGGACCACGTCTGCTCCAGGCACGTCCCCTGCTCTCGCAGGTCCCAGCAAGACACCTGGACCAACCCAGGACTGAGGGCAGACAGCAAACCCTGCTGATGAGCACTCACGCTGCATGTCAGCAGGCCCAACTCGCCTGGCCCAGACAGACGACGAAGCCAACGCTCTGTTCAATCCCACAGGATTATGTTCTCAGTACAGAGACACACTGTGGTTCCTTGCTGCGGTTCCTCCATGTCTGGGAAGCTGCTCAAGACTCCCAGCTCTTGGCAGGTGCCCGCCAACCCAAGTATGTGGTGACTTAGGAGACTCCTAGGTGGCAGCCGTGGCCAAATCCCCCTCAGCCCTGCTGACTCTGAGAGCTTGCAGTGCAAGAGGGAACATCCGCTTCCAGACCCCAGGAGTCTTTCCAGGTCCTCTTCCTCCCTATCTTTGCTCCTCTGCTCCCCAGTGACAGCCCAAGCAGCCACCCCACCGTCCCGCCCTTGGTCCAGCGGGAAGCAGGGATTCACACCTGGGACTGCGCCTGGAAGCCGAGCTTTACCAAAACACCAAGCCACTCTTGCATTATCTGTCATTTTCTCCAGGGCTCACTCACCTAAATCCGCAGTGCCTGGCAGCGGGGAGGGCTGCTCTGACACGTCACTGCTGGAAATGCCTGAAAAAACGTTGCGTCCCCAGCAAGCAGAGAACAGCCCTGCTGTCGACAACCTGGAGGAAGCCCGCCTAGCTTGCGCAGGGGCACGCTCGTCTTTGCCAGGGCAGCTGCTCGCTCCGGTCCATTTGTTTTCAAGCAACAGCACGGTGCTCTCAAAGCACCAACGCCGTGAAATGCATTGGCACACTGGGCAAAGCCTGGAACAGGCTCTGATCTCCTCTGCAGGGGCTCTGACTTTGCTAATCACACAAATTCAGCTTGGCCTGGCCGTTCCTGCTCTGAAAGGAATTGCCAAGCTGCCTGGGCCCAGCAGGGAGCAGAGCTCCCCCCAAAACACATTCGCCACGGTTCAAACAAATGCAAATCCAGAGTCCTGCTCACCCACGAGGCTGGCAGATCCCAGCACTCCTCCGAGCACCAGCACGTTGTCCAAGCCCCCTCTCCTGACCCAGGAAAGAAAGACCCCTTTTCTTTACAGTCTTCCTGTGTTCACAGCTGGATCCACCTCTCTTCCTTCACTGTCCTTGAGACAAACGCTGCTCCTGGGGCTGGTGCACAGCTGCTGCCTCCCACCCCGGCACAGCCACCCGTCAGCGGTGGGCAAAGCACTGCTCACGTCTCCTTTGCAACGAGCCATTGGGACGCAAGTGAAACCCGCAGTAACGTTATTGCGGGACTCGGTGGAGGAACAGCGGGTGAGCAGGACCCACCAACAGCTGCCCCTTGCAGCACACGTTAGTTTAAACATTTATTGTACGTGTCTGGCTTTGATGAGGATCTGTAACCTGTCAGTTGCCAGTGTTTACCTTGGGGGACGTGCATGAGAAACCTCAGTCTGAAGGGCTGGGAGTTTATTTTAATGCCAGATAAACAGCTCCCCTTGAGAAATCACCCTTATGACAGTAACCTCCAAAGACTAAACAAAGATCCAAGGGCCATACACACTGCTTTGAGAAAACTTCCTGGAGTCAATCCATCCTTAGCTGGCTGCTCTCCCCAGGTCGGGGACGTCCCCAGGACTACCCAGCGCTCTCCTCCCTTTCAGAGCACCAGCGAGATCTCCCGTTGCTACCTGTCCTCTGTGCCAAGTACGCCAGCGGTGCCAGGGACGTACCAGGGACGAAGACGGCTGCTGCTGGCCTCGCTTCATCCGCTCACCAGCCCCTTCAGGGCGGCGCAGAGAGGAGCTAGGCGCCAGCTCCTGCCGCCCGCGCCAGGCGCCGGCCCGAGGACCACGTCCTGCCCTGCATGCGGCACGCTACCTGCCAGGTGTGCCGAGTTACCAGAGACACGCTGCCTCTCTCCCTTTGCTCTGGCTCCCCAGCTGGCTGCAAACCTGGCACATCTGGAGGCAGCACTGCTAAACGTACCCGGGACTTCTGCTGGATGGAGAGGAGAAACACATTGACAGAAGAAAGAAAATACCAAATGCAGCTGCATGAAACCTACACCACTGCAAACCCATGCAAACGAGCTTCTCCACTGCTGTTTATTCTGGTGACAAGGCAGGAACAGAGGAACAAAAGGAGATCCAAAACACAACCAGCTTCCCATTGTGAGAGAAGAATGATGGTTCACATGCAGCAGACACCAGCTGTGTCCTGCTCAGCTGCTTTTGGACTTTTCTACTGCAGGGAGGTCATCTTGTTGCGAGATGAAAACCTCTTTCTGAGACAAAAAGAGAAAGCAGCAGTGGGAAGACAGAGGAATGGGAGGAATCTCAGCATCAGCAAGAGCTCTGACGTGTTTAAAAATAAAGTTACACGTTGGAGTCTCGCTGATCCAGAGAACAAAGAACGATCCTAAGTTACTTACAATGGTTGGAAAAACCCTCAGACTGCTCTGGCAGAGAAAAGAGACAATTCTATATAAAGCGGGAGAAATGCACTAACGAGGAGGGAGCCAAGAAGTGCGTTGACACAGGTATGATGCCCGACATCAGGAGTGATGCGATCCCTGCCAGGCCTAAGCGCCCAGGCACCTGGTTCAGATCTGGCCAGGTCCATCTGCAAAGCTGGTCGGAGGCAGAAGGGAGGTTTCCATGAAAACCTTCACCGCAGTTTTGGGTTAAGCAGGGGAGCACGCAGAGGTTGAGGTCTCCCCCGTTTCCAGCTCGGCCGTTCGGCACACAGTAACCCTCTATCTGCCTGCTCCCCACAGCCCTACCCCGGGAACCGCCTGCCAGGAAATTTTTCCATCCTCTGCACTCTGTCACCGCAAAATTTCTCAATAATCAACCTACCCTGCAGGCAAGTCCATGTCTCAAGCCTCTCTGCCGAGGCTGTGAATACTTCTGGTTTGGCCTCCCCTCCTCGTTGTGCAACTGTCCTGGAGCACG